CCATGTATGTGGCTAATTATGTTTTAACAATCGCTGTTATAGTTATCTGTGCATATGTCTTTAAGTATGTGGGTAGGGTTAAGTAAGTTATTGTTGTAATTTTTTATTCATAAAACAAATATTTTTACCAAAAATTCAAATTTAACCCTATCGTCTACATATTTCAAAATTGTCAAGTGCGTTTAGATAACTTCACACTTCTTCATCAGATTCATCAAAATAATCAGAACTCGCAGGAACTCTTTAATGCTTCCTAGAATATCACATTTAGTTTCAGATCCTTGTCGCCCATTAATGCAGTTGAGGCACGATGTCACATGATTAAACGAATTCATAAATATCGAAACGAACAGAAGCAGAAGGTAACATCAATTGCACTTCTTTAACTGTTCTTCTCGAGCAAATGAACAAAACTGAACGCAAAAAAGTATAATCACCTCTAATATTGGATTACAACTAAATCTGTGTAAAACATAAGCAAAGAACTCTCTTTTTATATAATACCAAATAATGATCAGAAAAAAGTAGCACTACCGAAGTGAAAGTTCTGCTCCAATGCTTTAGCTGCCCCGAAAAACAGACTTGCACGAATTTTAAAAATAAGAAAAACGGTGTTTACATAACCGTATGAGCGTATAAAAAGACGCTTATTTCGCCATGCGCGGCGCTCCCACTTCCTTCATCCAGAAAAGAAAGTCCCAGTGGCGGGGGGGGGGGGGCGCACGTGCCCTGCAGCTGCGTTGCACCGTTGCACCACTGCGCGCGCAGAAATAGCCCAGGGCCGATCGCCTGGCGCTCGGCCGCTCGGCCCCACGCTCTTGTGACAGCGGCCGCGCCGAAATACAGCGCCCTTCGCCCCCTTTCCCTTTCTCCCCCTCCCTCCCCCAACCCCGGCACCCTCTTTCTTCTCATTTAGATTTAGGAACGATGTTACACATCTACAATTCACGCGTGCATTGGCGGAAAACTACACATCCTTTAGCCATGTGTTTCGTTAGACACTTAGCAACTCAGAAAATAGACAAAAATTATGCAACCGTTTCGATTTTTGTATAAGGCAAATACGTCATTATGTTGTTCCGTGTATTCTCATAGCGCGCGTACCGATAGAATGTTTATACGCAGTGCGTATAAACTTCATCACTGCTGACGTCATGCTACTGCAAGGCTCCAAGTAATAAGTCTCCTGATATTAAATGTTTGGTATTCACGTGTTGGGTTAATCAACAATTTTTTTTAAAATATTTCTGGTATGTAAAGGTCATTTATTACACTTACGATTATAATAACGGAAAATATAACGGAATATTAGCCTGAAATGTTCCTCGAGTGCATTGAGCCAAGCCGTCGGCGCCAGTGCTCGGTGCATTGCGAGCGCATCGCAAGGACGCATCAACGTAGCTCTTGAGGATGGCTCGAGCGAATATCCGAAAATAGAACGCAATCGTAGATATGACCAAAAAACACCCTGTCTCTTACGTCTAACCGTACGAAAGATAATTCGCAAAGAAGGAATTTGTATGGTTTGTATCTGAACCGTACTTCTTAAGTTTCGTTCTTTACTCTCAGGGAACGCATTTTTAAGAAGTATATAACCGACAAGTCAATTTATAAGTGGCAGTGACTTGCGCGCGTGTGTGTTTGGTGATATTGGCGTAATGAATTGATGAAGACATGGCTTCGCGGTGTCCATTCCTCCGAAGCTTTTGACGATGGTGAGCGCATCAATACGGTGGTGGGGGCCACGCAAAGGAGCTGGCGACGAGGAAGCCTGCGGGGGGAGTAAACTCGGATGACGTGTGCGCTGGCGGCCCCTGGGGCTGCGACGCGGAAGCGCTCTGTGGGTCACGCGGCGCAGAGCGATGGCGCAGCCTATTTGCGCCAAGGCCCCGGGCGGCCTTGCTCGACTTGGCACGCGCCCCGCCCACTCCTCCTCCCCCGCCCCCTCGCCGCCACCCCGCGACATTGGCACAGGAGCGGACGCGCTTTTCCACGGCGACAGCGCAGGCGACGCTCTCTGCACAGCCTCTGCCTCTGCCACCACTCTGAGTCCCACCCAAGACTAGCTAGGCGACTTCAGCGAATACACTCGTCTGGGGGAGGATTCTCCGGCTCCGGCGGGGAGATTCTACCGGCTCTGTGCTCTCGGTAGTTTTCCGTAGTATCTCCGATGAATACCAGGCGAATATCGGAGCAATAAACGGGCCATGGACCGCGCGCGATCTTTCCGTCCTCGTAGTATATTGTTCTATTACACGCACACAATTACATTCACTTCACTACCACACATTTTGCAAATCCAGTCGGACGCGTACAGCTGGCTCCGGGGCATAGGGAAAACCCCCGCAAATCCGCTAAGGTCTTTCTGTCAAGTCAGCTAATCTCATCCTGAAACGGGGACTGGGTACATCCATCTCTCTCACCATGAAACATTCACAACAATGAAGGCGAATAATGCCCATAATAGTCTGCGTGCCCGAAAACATTCATGAATGGTCCCCCAAGGGACGAGGGCAGGCCGCGCGCGCCGGGAAGCGCCCCCTCCCCCCCTCAAGGGACAGATCCGTCCGCTCTCGCGAGAGGCGCAGCAACAAGTGCTCCCCCCCTCAGCCTACGCGTCGCCCCGAGCTCCGCCCCGCGTGGACGCGCTGCGCCGCTGGTCTTCGACGTTGATTTAGCGCGAGGCGGTGCTTTCCACAGCGCACGGCGGTTGCTAAGAGACTGCGCTAAATAGCATAATGATCGCCATTCAAGTGACATTCGAAGGGTTGTGCAAGGGAGCGCCATGGGCTTCCGATATCGCGACCGTGCGTAAGCGCGCCTTGCGTAGGGGAAGGGAAGGGAAGGGGGCGGGGCGTGGGGCGCACTTGTTGATGCCAAGCTGTCGCCCGCCGACCGATCAATACTCCTGGCGCCCGCCGCCCCGCCGCCGCGCACGGCCCCCGGCGCCCGCGCCGCGCGCCGCTGCCGCCGCGCGCCGACAGGCGGCCCGCGCCGCCGCGCCGCTCCGCGCGGGGCCGCGCCGCCCCCGCGCCGCCCGCGCGCGCCCGCGCCGCCGCGGCGCCGCGCCGCCCGCCCGCCCGCGCCACACTCGCCCCCCGTAGCCGCAGGTGGCGCGCGCCGACGCGCTGACTTTGCGGCCTTCCGGCAGCGGCGCCGCTCCGACGGCCGGCTGACGCCCTTCGCGTTATTTGCGGGGGCACACAAAGGACAACGACGGGGGAGAGGGCCTACACGTGAGCCAAGGCCAGAGTCACGGGGAGCGTCGGCGAGGACGAGACGAGTAGGAAAGCAAATGTTAAAGGAAATGCGATGGGGAGAGTGAACACCAGAAAGCAGGCGAGGGCGAGGAACGATGGCCTATGCAAGGGTGAACGCGAGGGCAGAGACACAGTCGAGGTCCAGGGCAGTGTGTCTAGGAAGACAAAGCGATGGCGAAGACGTGGGCTAGACCAGGAGGGAAAGGATGGCAGAAGGCGGGGGCGAGGACCGATGGTGTATGCAAGGGTGAAGTCGAGGGCGGAGTCAGAGGCGAAGTCCAGGGCGATTGTGTCTAGGAAAGCGATGGCGGAGGCGAAGACGAGGGCTAGACCGAGAGGGAAGGGATGGAAGGAAGCGCGGGCGAGGCGGAGAGCGAGAGTGGGGGCGCGATCGGGAGCGATTGCGTGGAGAAACGCAACCGCGAGGGCGAGGGCGAGGCCGCGTTACGAGTGAGGGAGGGCGTCGCGGTTGTTTTGGTGGAAATTTCCCACCGCCGCGCGTCAAGGACACGCGCCCCCTGCTCTGCTGTGCAGCTGCGCTCAAAGCAAAGGAAATACTGAAGCGTGAAAATCTGTTAAGAAGATGCAATGCACGGTGTGTCACTGAAATCGAATTTTGAAATCGGGAAATGAGAGGCAATAAGAAGTTGTCACTTAATACGTTATTTTGAACAATAAATTTGCCGAATTAAGCAAATTTCATTTTTTTATAAAAATATAATTCTGCTTCAGAAACGTTTAAAATAAATTGTTGGTCACAACTCGACTAAAACCAATCTATGATTTGGTGGTCTTAACCAGATGATATGGCAGACGTTTCACAGATGAGGCAATGCATGTTTTTGCATAGTTACCATCCATCACAAAGGTGAGAACCAACACGTGAAAAGCAAGAGTCAAGAAGAAAACATACAGCGTGATGTATGAAAGACGTCAGAAGTCAAGGAACGAGCGGAAGATTTAGGTCCTGAAAATAATGTAAGCAAGATTTGCAATAAATACCTACATTAGAGACTGTTTAAGCGTAATAAATTCATTAAATTGTTTTTATATGCAAAAAAATAATTTTCTCTTAACCAGAATAAATTTTGTGAAGAGAATGAGAGGTCCTTTTTATTTTACCTAACACGTTGAAGATAATCACCCTTTTTAAAACTATTTGGTTAATATGGTTAAATAAAACATATTTTTAGATACCCTCACTGTTAAAAATGGCGAAAAGAAAAAAATTTTCAATACTTCCAGTAATACATAATAATGCAATGATTTCTTATTGCTCAAGTTGAAAACATTTTCGTGTTAAGAGCTTCCTGTTTCTTAGAGTACTTTATGGTATTTCCCTCGAGATTGTACGAATCTTGGTTGTCATTCCAAAGTACGTTAATTGCTTTACAATAATGGAATCGATTCATTTGATTGCTTAAGTTAAAAAATATTAAATCGTGTTGTGTTAGTGAGATGTTTGAGGACCTAATCAAGAGGAATTTTATTCCAACGCTTTGTTTCGTAATAACAATTCTTTCATAGTTAGTTTTCGTGTGAGACGTAATCGCCCCGTTTGTTTGACAGCCGCGTCTATTTCGGGTGCTTAAGTGCAGCGCACTCGCCGCTTGTCGCGTGGGCGCCGGGCTGTTTGCGGTCGCGGGTGGCTGCATCTTAAAGCGCGAGGCGAGGGCGCGCGCGGAAGTGCGCTGTTGCGTGGACGGTGCGTGAGCGGCGTGGTGCGCGTGTGTGTTGCAGGCGCCGGCGGAGGCAGCGATGGTGGAGGGCGCTGACGGCGCTGAGGGCGAGCCGTGAGGCGGTCACGCACACGCATTGCGCATGGAGCACGGTAACGGCGACCTGCGGGCGGCTGTGCCCTGACTGCCCGCGCAGCGGGGGATTGGCCGGCGCGGCGCGCCGCGCCAACGACGCGAGCGCCGGGCGGCGGCGCGGGGCCCGGGGGGGGAGGGGGGCGGCCGCGCGGACGGCGCGGAGCGAAGGCGTTAGTTCGATCCTTCGCCCTCGCGCCGCCCGCCCTCCCGCCCCTCCGCTCCTGGCCCGGGCGTCGCGTCGCGTCGCGTCGCGTCCTCGCGAGTCGCTTTTTCCTCCACGCGTTCCCCTCCGTCCCCGCCGGCCCAAGGCACGCCCACGCTCCTCGCTTCTTCTCTTGCCTTTCAGCGCACTTCGCCCTGCGCCTGCAAAACTAAACAGGTTCTTCCTTCAATTGTTCGCGAATTAAATCCTCAACAGGGTCACGCGTCTCTGCTCTTCTTCCCCCCTGATTGCTCTAAGATTTTCATCCACAAGAGCCTCCCTTGGAAGCTAATACCTATAGTGTAAATCTCTCATAACATACATTACTAAAAAACAGATTCCCTGATTCTAATGGTAAAATTATTAAAAATGACACTCCAGTTTACAGATCTAAAAAGTCAAACAAGGAAAAAATGTTATATTTTCTACGATTTTAAAACACACGTGTAAAAGAAATAAGTGGTTCAGAAATTTTGAATATATTTGTGGTAGTGTAATTTGCTGTTGTTGCAAATTTTTAATGCTTCTTGTAAGTAAATTGGTCACCGATCTGAAAGTAAACACCATAAAACCTGTTTTAGCCCTAATAATATTGACAAAACATAAAAAATTGTACGGGTTGTAAAATGTCATCCCTAATTATCTTACAATCTATAAGAGATACTATTCATCTGGCGCATTTTTAGTGCTGCGAGTTAAAGAAATTCTAAATGTAATAGATAAAAATATTGAATTCAAACGCATTCCATACGGAATTTGAATATCTCGAAATAATGATGACTGCCGAGATCAGAAAGAAAATGTCGCGGAGTAAAAGAAAATAGGAGAGACTGTCAAAAAACAAAAGTCAAAGAAGAAAAAAGTGAAACATTTATAGACAACAAAAATTAACGAAATCGCAGAAAAAATATACCTACTAAATTTAAAAAAAAATAAACAAGGAAAGTAATTTAAATTTATTGCTATTTGGTAAAGAAAAGGAAGATGAAATTAAAATACTATCAATATTTTATACAATTGTTTAAGGTACATTGTGCTCTATACGTATTGAAACCATGTTAACTTCGTTTTTCACTTTTCAACTGTGGGGGAAGCGTTAGGAGAACTCGTGTACTGTTTACGAACACAAACGTCCATGCCTTCGGCAAGATTCGAAACCGCGACCCTTCCGAACCGCATCTACGGCCCTTTAGCTTTAGCGGCCTCGTCTATCCAGGTCGACTTAGAAATGTTTGTACCACTGTATTTTCCTTAAATAGACTAAACATTCGTTCATACAATCAAATTCATACTGCATATGTAATTTAAAAGATTGTTATAATATATTTATTTATTATCATTAATTTTATTGGAGAAAATTGGTTTCAAATAATCTTACCATTTCACTTCGGCCCTTACATTAAAATAAACAGCAATTCTTATGTGAAAGTCATTATTCATTAAGTTTATAATAATTGATGTGGTACATCTTAAATAATCTTTGAAAGCTAAAACATAAGAAAAATTACCAATTTAAAGGGCAAACTATTTTCAAAAATTTCCTTAAATCAAAACAGCTTTCAAAACTTCATTTACGTGCAATGACAATGTCACTTTCGACAACTATAAGTCCATTCGGACACCTCCCTTCGTGCCCCACATGCGACTCTATTTCTGCGCAGCAGCCTCGCGTATAATCGTGAAAAGCGATGTCAGACCCCCACTTTTGATTAGTTTCTCTTATCACAATAGTCTCTCGCAAATTTCTACAAAATAAATACGATAACTCTAGCAATTAAATGATTGAAAATGGAATTAAATTTTTAACTAGTGGAATACAACATATACGTTGCCCATTAGTTGCAAATCTTGCAATTTCTGAAAATTTAAAGAATTGAACTAAACTTGGAACTGTGGCGTTTTTATAGGCGTGCTTTGCGAGAGGAAAAATTAAAGTAAAAAGTTGTAAACTTTTTTGGGGAAAATTTTGAAAATAGCGTTTGGAGTTTCATGTAATGTACTCGCTAAAATGAAAATGTTCGTTTCAAGTTCAAGGGGCTGCAAAATCACGCCGATCAATCGGAAATATCGATTTTGGTGAAAATTGTGAATACTGTTTAGCCGCTAGCAAAGCTCACAGAAAGAGGAACAGGCATTTTGCCATCGAGCGATTTTTCTATATCAAGGATCCCCACACACATACACACACAGACATACACACAGAGACAAAACGTGTATTTCGATTACACATCGTGTTAGATGAAAGTAATCTAACACGATGTAATCTAACGTAAGAACTTCAAAGATGAAAGTAATCTACACGAAGTAATCTAAAGTAAGAACTACAAGTAGAAACAAGATTTATTCACTTTTTCGGTACTAGAGCCTCGCAATACTATTTTTCTGTAAAAAAAATCCCATATTTCTGCCGCAGGTGTACAACATTATCTCTATACTACGAGAGTATGGTGGAAAGCAAAAGTAGCTATCTTATGAGCATACGCCCTATTATGGTTTTATCGTGGGGGTCCAAGCCCCATCGCGCTGGCCGCGTGCTGCCTCTGGCGAAGAGCCGAGTAGTCTCGCGGGGCGACGGGCTGCAGCTGAGTTGGAGCGGCGGATGCAAGCACTGCGTGTGGGTGGGCGGGCGGGGCGGGGCGGGCGCGGGACGGGGGGGCGGGCGGGGCGGAGCGGGGCGGGCGGGCAGGCGGGGGCGCAGGCGCGAGGATCGAAGTGTCCAGACGCGCGCGTAATCGCACCTGTCGCGCAGCCGGTCCCCCGCCGCCTCCGCCCGCCGCCCGCCACCGCCGCCGCCCGCCCCGCCGGCACACCGCGGCCCGCAGCGCCGGCTGCGCCGCCTGCACCGCGCTCTCGGCGGTTTCCATGGCGACCGGCGCGGCGGTGGCGCGCGGCGGCGGGGCGCGTTCCGCCGGTGGCGCGCCGCCCGCCGCGTCCATTCCCCGCAACCGCGCGTCGAAAGGCAGCCGCCGCCACCGCGAGACAAAGGAGGCGCCGCCTCCCTCCGCCCCAGCGCCCGCACCCCATCTAGCGGCCGAGGCGCCAAGCTCCACCCTCCGCCCCACGCGCTTTCGCTCTTTTGCGTGCCCACCTGCGCTGCTGTGCTTTGTAATCGTCGTAACACGCACAAAGGACAAGGGATTTTTAAAAATGCAACTTACTTGAGGGAGCACTTCCAAAGCTATTGAAACTTACGCCTTCCTCATCTTTGTCTCTTCAGCTGGAGTTAGGACAAATATCACAGATATGCACAACGGTCAACTAAGAGGACAGGCACTAAAATCGGAGTAAACCCCTCGGCATAAGAACCTCCGCTAAACTTGACAACATGATTTGGAAGCACGCACGTTGCTAGCCCGTTAAGGGCCTCAGAAAATTCTTCCATGTTAAATCTACAGTCTCCGACTATGCGCTACAGTGTGCACAGTGCACGAATGGGCACCGTTAAAATTATGTCAGTCACAAGAAAGCCATATGGCACTGAATAGCTGGCTGGCAAAACCCTAACATGAAGTCATTCCAACGAGATCAGCTTCGCACATGTCAGAGTACTGGTTTCATGACTGTCACAGAAGGTCGAGTAATTCCAACACGCAATTACATAAAATAAATACTTAAGAGATCAAACTGTGAAAGACTACTACTTCCGATGTGAATGTGAAGAAATTGAATCAGATTTACATACAGATTTATTACAGATTTTATACAGATTTATTACATCAGGTTTGCTGGATTACGGTACAGGGACAGCGATGGTGCAGTATCGGCAATAATCCACCACAAGAATTGGCCCACAAGTACCGGTTAATAACGAATGCGCAAGTGCCGCATCATAAGTATAAATCACGGAATGTTTTGAAAAATCGTTCTCGTCGCTTATCCCGGCATGAAACGATTCTTACAGACAGAATAATCATTAATATCCGACCTCATGGTCCATGAAGGAAGTCAGTCAAACACAATCGATGTTATATACGTTCGATCACGAACTCTTCAGTTAAAATAAATGAAAAATCAAGAAATGTAGGCCACTCAAAGTTCATACAACAATGGAACAATGAAAAAGGTAAGAATAATTTCTATTCTAACATCGAGTACTAGAGCCATTCCAAAAACCTCGCAATAAACGTTCAAAGAATGCGATCTTCCTTGTCCAATGGCAAACTACTTCAGAACTACCATCTTCACCTACTACTTCAGAACCATCAACTCAACGCCTAGAACCGTCAGTAAATTTGTAAGAATTGAAATCAAACACCATAATTAGGTTGAAAAATTACATTTTTATAACTTCTACAGTGATTAGATAAATCTGTTCAATTTATGATTACGCCGAACGTAAGATTACAAGATGTAAATGACCAATAAATGTCAATTGAATGACATATAGTCGAAATCGACACCACAAAAGTAGTGTGTGAACATATTCGAAATTTTTACATGCATATTATCAGGAATGGTTCAGTGGTCTTGTGAAGTTTGATAAATATGAATACAACACAAATGCGGGAAAAAATAATTTAAATAACATATTAGTAGATGCAGTACTGCATCTACTGTATGCATTATTTTTCGCCTGTCCCCAGAGGCCAGTAGCGGCGCAACAGAACTGTTACCCTAGAGTCTAGAGCCCAGTAACAGTAAGATAAACATTTTTAATATAAAAGCAATGTACTGCAAAATAAAATGAATGAAAATTATAGCATTTTTAAAAAATTGAACTAATTAAATTAAAAATAATAATTTTAAACACAGTGGTTTATATAAAATGTATCTTCTTTCTCTTTCACAAGGATTGGATATGAAGAAAACACGGGCAATACCGGGTATTTTGCTAATAATAATAATAATAATAATAATAATAATAATAAATAATAATAATAATAAATAATAAGCGTACCCGTGCGAGAACTATCGCATGTTAATCCCCACCTTTTTTCCTATCCTTTCTATTAAGATGGAAAGTTTATTCGTTTACGTGTTTAAAAGCTAACCTGTTTATTTGTCAAAAAGTGTATAAACGTAAATTCGTACTTACGGAATATCGAACAAAAATAAAAGCAATATAATTGATGTTGGAAACAAATTTTCAATAAATGGTTATTCAGTATTATAAAGATACGTTCTTCGAATATTTCACACTTCCTTAAAGACATCATTGGATGTGATTGCTCAATCTTCCTTGATAGTTAGCTCTTCGCTTTCCTTGATAGTCACAAAAATATTAGAAAAGGCTTTTACCCTTGAGAAAGCCAAGAAAATTTTTCCATTTGAAAATACAGGATCGAACAAGTACAAGCCTCGTTCTTGCAATATTAGTTAACTTCCCTGGATTTATTATGACGAAGGGGATTTGGAGGGGCAGGGCGCCAGCTTGCTGGAGGGCGAAAATTGGATAATTACCATATTTGTATACTAAAAAGTATGGGATTATTTTCTGGGTTCTTACGTACCTCAAAAAAAGCAATTCCGAGCCAAAAAACTAATAAATCTAATATTTTCACCTTTGAGTAATTGATATCATTTGTTATCATTTGAAACAATTTACTAAGTTCAGACTTCACTTCGGTACTTGGGAATGTCGCTCGATGTTTACGTATTGAATATGTTAGCGAACCGGCGCGTTAAGTTTAATATCAGACGGTGCATTATTTACTTTATGAATTTTCAGTTGAGCATTGATGTACCGACTTCCGGATACCGCCAATATTTAAAACGTGAGTCAGGATTGTGATCGTTGGCTGCTGTCGAATGACTAGCGGTATTCTTTCAAAAAATTTTAATTTGTTTCATTTTTTAAATTAATTCACTAAATTAAAACTAAATTAAAACTAAATTAATTCAATTAAATTAGTATTGTACGCTGGCGCGTCTTGCTTTTTGTCCTGCATTTATTTCAAGCTATTTTAGTTAATTTCTATGTGTTCTTTGTATTATCGTAGTATCTCCGTAAACCCATGTGAGAACTCTCACATTTTAAACCCCACCCTCTTCCTTATCCTTCTATTTCCATTGTAAGAGGGGAAGTTGTAAACGAAAATATTTACTTGTTTAAAAATATGTAAAGGTAACTTCCAATGTACTAACACAATATCAAATAAAAATAAAAACAATGCAATTGATGTTGAAAAGAAATGTTCACTAAATATTTTTTCAGTATTATTGAGAGCTTTCTTGATACAATTCACAACACTCCTTTAAACATATTTGAAGTAATTATTCTATTGTATATTATTTGACAGTCATCTTTTCGCTTTTCAAGATAGTCACAAAAATAGTAAATAAAGGTCATCACCCTTGAGAAAGCTATGTGACTGTACAAGCAGACTTAAAAGTTTGACCGAATCACAGGCGAGAACGAAAATACTGGTACAGGTAAAGCACAAACCAAAGCTAACAACACACGACTTTATTCTTCACTCTACACCCACATACCTTCACCATTAGGTACACAGCACTTGTAGACCTCAGAACGTTCAATAAATATTTTCACTACACGCATAAGAAACAATCTCCATCGGTGTCAAGCAACTATTAATAGAACGTCTAGTTGTTGCTGTGAGAGCGAATATTGAATTAATAATTATGCAAATAAATCTCGTCATCTGCGCAAATCACGGTGTACACAGAAGGCGTAAATAGTATTAGAGAAATCTGAGCCTTCTAAGCGTGACGTCGCAAAGTTAGCCACCATCACCAAGGGTTGAAATTTAGGTGGCATTGGTACTATCGATAAGTTAGTAAACCAGGAAAAATTCAGTAGAATATCTAAGAATATCGCATGTACATTACGATGTGAATGTTTCTTTGAGACCTTTGGCTTCAAAGTGTTAGTTGTTAAGGCTCGAGAACGCTTCGATTAGGATTTATTTAACGATATAGCTGACAGTGTTGCGGGTTGCATTTGTCATGAATATTTAGATGCTTTTTTAAATCAAATCCTTAAAATATTTAAAGTCAACGTGCAATTCTTCACGTTTCCTTGAAATTATCATTCTTTAGAGACCTCATTTATAAATATCTATTATGTGAGAGAGCCACAAAAGATGTGAATACTGGTGAAATATAATAGGCAAATATTATGATGACGATGATGATGATGATGATGATGATGATGATAATAATAATAATAATAATAATAATAATAATAATAATAATAATAATAATAATTCATAGCAGATTTTTAATATCTATTCTATAAGAGAAAAATTATACAGCATGTACCGTCCCAGATTAGCCAAAGTTGGAACGACTCATCCCACATCAAGGTGGATTAATTTATCATTCTCAGCTGCAAGAATAACAAGATGGAATATTTCCTGAAGAGTTATATTTGTGGAATGCAAATCCATTGCCCTTTATTGCCTCAATCAGCGTCTTTACAAGACGCTGTGACAATTCCTTTTAAGCTCAGGTAAAATTACGCCATCGACAATCAATCTCCTAGTAGCAGAATTGAAGAATAAAAAGAAAAACATTCACGCCATCCAACCATCACAACTTCAAGAGACCCGTATGCAACTTGCATAGAGTAAAGAGGCGTTCTTTCCGTAAAACAGCAGAAATCTACATGGCATCTCGGGATAAAATAATTTCAACTACAGATTATTGAAATGTTATATTTAATGAGCAGATTAAATAACATAACTTTGGAATGTGCCTCCATGAATCTGAAAGCATTGTATATATCACTGGCTGTAAAGTGGTCATGCAAAAAGCGCATATGTGCAACCCCATTATTACCAACATCATGAACAAGGATGCCTTGAGGGGCGCGTGGCAGGTGGCCTGGGAGCAGAGGCGGGGGCGCGGTGGGGGTGCCCTTGCTCTGTTCGAACCCAAGACTGCGCAGACACCGGGAGCTAATAGAGTCTCGCAATTCCGCTAACGGGGTGGAAAAGAAGTCAAATTACGTCTAGGCGGATTCAGACGTATCTAGTACACCACCACAAACCGTGTTTTGTGTGTTCATTTTTCTTTAACATACTTATCTTATCTTCAACTTGGCTGGGTAAAGATCTGAAACGGTGGGCAAGCTATTTGTTTCGGAAGGCGGTCGTGCAACATTGGGAGGCAAACGTCGTTAAGAGTAAAACGGTTAGGCGGAAGCGTTAAGCGCTCGGGGGCCGGGGGCGGGGGAGCTATTTCCGCAGATGCCGGCGCGGAGGTCGGGCGCGCGACAGGTAGCTCCGGGGGCAGGGGGCGCGTCCGCGGCGTTGCGGAACGCGGGTTACGAAAGGGGCTGTTGGCGTAGGCCTGGCGCTCCCAGGCGCGCGGCGCAGACTCGCTAATGACCCGCGGCCGCGCGCCGGAGCGCTGGCGGGGGCGGGGCGGGGGCGGGCGGCGCCGGGAAGTGGGGTCAGTAGTGCCAGCCGGGGCAGCCGTCTAGCGTCTAGCTAGTTTATCGACGCGTCTGGCGCGCGCCGCGCAACCCCTGCGCCCGCCCGCCCGCCCCCGGGCGCACGGTCCTCCCTTGTCGGCGCCGCGCCGCGCCGCGGGGAAAATACGCGCGGTCCGCGGAAAGGGCGCACAGGGGGTGAGGCAGGGCAACGGAAAGGTCAGGGGGTCGCGCGAGCCTCCGCCCGTTCGCCCCTGCCGGACCACAGGCCCGCGGCGCAACACGAAGGCGCGCGCGGCGCTCCCCCGCCGCCCCGCCCGGCCGGCCGCGTATGCTGCTGCTTTCGCGCCCACATCTATTCTATTTTTTTCTCGGGGGGCTTTTCGCGTCGGTGGAATACCGATTTCGCTTGTCTCCGCGACGCGTTGGAAATACTAGTCTATGTTTGGGGCACAATACTTTTATATAGACACATGACACATCAGGGTATTCTGGATCTATGAATCAGCAGTCTCAAAAGCTTCCTGGAAAAACACTCCGTGAAAGGAAGGGCGCTACATGCCACGGGCCGGAATCTTCCTCGGCTACGGCCGAACCCTTCGGAGTGGCAACCAAGCTCTAGCCACTCGGCAACCAGATCGGCGCAATCATCTTTTACGCCATTTATACAAGGTTATTTTCCTTTTCCTATGTTTTTGAAACTGAACTCTGCTTTGTTTTTGTTTCGGGCGCTCAAGGTTGCAAAGACGACATTGGCGGAGACGTGATTTGCGGAGAGGACAGCGGGGGGGGGAGCATTAGGATCCTTAGGCGTATATGACGAAATAAGCCGCCTTTGACAACAATCAATTCCTTGAATCTTCTTTGAAGCTTTTCAGTCTAGCTAGTTAATCTTAAGAATCAAAGTCATTTTAAACGTTACATTTTGAATTACGGTCCTTTGTCTTTCGATTTCATGCCTTCTCGAACAAAGATTAAATGAATCGAGAAATTCGCGCACAAGTGTGTAATTCATCCGTTCGCGCGATAGAGCGCTCTCGTGTCGGGTGACGCGTGATGAGGAAAACACGAGGGCCAAACAACAAGCCCGCGCGCCCCCGTTGCCCGCCCGCCCGCCTATAAGGAAAAGTGGAGAGCCTGCCTACGCTTTCGATTGCCCGTCCTGCGCCACGCGCCGCGCCGGCCAACGAGGAAAAGTGAGCGCGCCCGCCCTACCAGGAAAGCGCGCGCGGGCGGGGGGGCTGCGCGGGGCGGGGCGGAGGCGGCGCGCGCGGCGTCGATGAAGCCACGTGCGGCCTGGTCGGCCGCTCGGAGGCAGAGGGGCGCGGGTCGATCCTGACTTGTGCATTCGGACAGCCACGTGGCGCGCGTGACCCTCGACTCCCCGCCCCTCCACCCCCCGCACGCGCCCCAAAGGCCAGAGGCGCGCCCGGAAAATCTGCACTCGCCCGCCGCGCCGGCTCCTTCCGCGCGGCTCTCGTGGGGGGAGCTTGGGGCGTGCGTGCGATCGTCGCGCATTCTGGATGCACCGCTATATCTCAACCAAGCAACGCCTTTTCTACATTAATACAGTTTATTCCAGGAGATTTCACAGTTAGGCATTTTGCATCAATGAGATGTATTTATGAACACTTGTAACTTTTTGAAGACAAGTCAATGATTGCCAATACTGCTTATGTTAAACAAATATTTTCTCGCAAGGTTTTGCAGCTGCACAGTGTCTCACTGAATAATTGGAAGCAGTCTGAAGAGCCGAACTTGAGTTAAAAGGCCATCCGTAGGAAACTATTTCTCGTTTCCCGCCTCAGACTATTGGATGCGCTAGGCCGGGCTGCAGGGGCGAGGCAACCCGACGCGCGCTTGCCCGCTCGTCGCGTTGCATCGCAGGCCCCTGACGGGGCCCTCGCAGGCAAACTCGTAGAGTAACCATCCCCCCCCAACCTCCTCGCTCATGCACGTCCTCTCCTAGGCAGATAAAGGGTACAGGTACTGTTTCGCTATCGAAAATGTACGATAAAATCCAGCGTCATTTCTTTTTTCCTACCGGACTCCTGATGAAAATCCATAATCCGGACGCTACAAGCAGTTCATCATCGAATCCAACGTACGTTTTGAAATTGAAGTTACGTACAGACGGAGGCGTCATAGAACACTGCACGTGGGACAACTCTTTACTTCTCATCACATAAATTCTCACAGCGGAGTCACACAACGTTCTAAAACTTAAAATAAAAAAAATCGCTCACCACACTTAGTAACAGAAAACAAGTTTCGCGTGAAGTGCCGCGGGGTGCTCGACAATCATACTTGACCTCTCCATACAAAAAATTAGGTATGGCTTCGTTTTATAGTGAGATAACTTGAGTGTGGTCCATTCCGTTTCAGTATAAAGAAGGGCGATAGAAACATTTTCGTGCTGCGCCCCCCCCGCCAAATCTAATTGCAAGGCAGAGAGCGCAGCGGACGACGGGTACCTTTACGCAACGCCTCGAGCGCACGCAAGGACGTGCAGGTTGAAAGAGGTCCAAGATATGACTGCTGCAACATGGGCGTTTTTTGTCACTAGGTGGAATTGAGATTCTGTGCGGAGGGGATTCTAATGGACAGCTATTGTGATTTGTAGTTTTCCTGGGGTTTCGCCGATCAAACACAGGCGAATGCCGGAGCAGTATCCTAACAAACGGGCCATGGGCGCGATCTTTTCCTTGTCCTTCCTGGTTCTATCCTCGTCAACCTTATATACGCAGACCTAACATTCACTTGGACTACACTACCACCCATGCGGGAGACCAGTCGTGAGCTAGACGCTGTGGCGGGGCCAGGTGCGGAAGATTCCTTGATCGGGAAATTCTCATCAGCAAGTGTATATCCGCGCTTATTTCAGCAGTGGAGGGGCGTCCCCTCCAGGCAATAAAATATTCGCATCTCCAACAGGCCTACTGACATCAGTGGTTGAAGGAAGCAGCAAACCCGCGAGATGCCTCATGTGCGTATTTGTGTGTTTCAGGAGAGCGTGGGAAGCGTCCGGCGCGGCGGCGGCGAGGCGGGGCCGAGGCGGGCGCAGCGTGGGCGGCGGCGGGCCGGGCCGGGGCCGAGGCCGGGGGCGCGCCGTCCCCCGCGCCGGCCTGGGACCCGTCCGCCCTGCGCGAGGACGAGTTCGAGCGCCACGTGGTGTACATCGTGCCCGACCTGCCCACCGCGCCCGGCTGCCCCACGCGCGCGCAGAGCTCGCTGCCGCGCAACCTCGTGCTCAAGCCCAGCCAGGCGCTCAGCGACGTGAGTCACGCGCACCCTCCCTGCGGCCCATGAACGTGTTCCAGGAAATTGCATATTACGTGCACACGTTAGACTGACTCTCAATGTTAGACAACCCCAAAGTGTTTGGCAGCTACATGAAATTTACGGTACGAACTTTACAGTACGTGACCTACAAAACGGTTGCCTAACAGTCCAAGACAAAATATGTTAACGTCGTTATATGAAAATTTCCATTACATGTTCATTGGCTAAAAGATCTATCTCCATACTCTAGAAGTTTCTAACATTTATTCTAAGGCATCTGTTTATTTTCCTGTCAAGAAAGTGGTACCAGCCACCCCTTCATGCTTCTTGCTGTTAACTCATGTGTTATAGTCATCATACCTTTCTGTCACACATGCCACTCAAAATTGGCTCAAAAGCAAACAAAAGTTTTCAAAATAGGTTAGAATAATATTCATTTTCTGGATTTTTAATTACGCTTCTTGTAATTAGTTTTATTAAAAGAGATAAGAAAATTTAAAATTCATTTTTTTAAATAATAAAACAATTCATCAAATCAGGCGAATGCCATTAAATTGCAGACTTTCGATTACATATTTAACATTGAACTCAAGAAGCAGACTGATTCACATGATGACTACAAATGCTATTATTTAATACTATAGTATAATATTGTATTTTACAGCACAGATACATATCATAAATGAAAATGATTTTTCTTAATGTTACATGTTATAATAGGCTGTTTGTATATCTAATATTAAAAGTGATGTATATTGTCTGAAGGAATCACAATCATACTAAATTTAGAAAAGAAAAAAGTGACTACAGTTTCATTCGTAATGAAAATCTCATACATTTTCTTTTAGAATTTAAATGATTCATTCAATTGCAGTTATTATTTCATCCGCTGGAGAGTATAATTACTTTATTTAACATCGTCTCGGGACACAGTTGGTGGATGGTTTTCACATTTCGTAGCGAGAGACTATATTTCAGTACGATGAATCTACATGCAAACCAAACTAGAAAATTTCATACTCGTACAATTAATATTACGAGACAAGGAATGTACGAGTAGAAAAAGCACTTGAAGCGGAAGACGCACGACAAAACGCTTTTCAATATTTTCTTCCGATATTCTTCGTGTCAATATTATACTTTCCTTCTCTGTTTCCTAGAATTGAAGTTGAGACGCGCGTGTGGAGTGTATCATTGAGTGTATCAATACCACAAACACGCTTGCAGCCAATAAAAACTGATCTTTATACAAAGTAGTTAGTATGTCTTAAAATAAGGTAAAATTTTCCGTATTGACTGTTTGAAATTATAAACAGACCGTGATTCTTGAGAATAGTTATTTTTAAATAATGTTCCACTGTCCAACATTTTGACGAATATTACGCCTTGGGCAAGGCTATTACATGTAGTATTATTATCTAAAACAATTTTCCGCATTCGTTTCTTTGTAAATTCACGAACATATAGCGTGCAATCATGTACTTTAATCTTATTTTAGACAAGGAAACCGTCTTTCGTATCCCTGATGAAGGCGTGTGTGTATACAGGTGAAATGTTGGCAAATAGATCTCATTATTAAATTACCTAAATTCAAGAACCAAATTCCCTTTATGCATCTCTCTTATTTTCAGAGCATCAATGATATTTATATTACATGAAATAGTTATCAGTTATATTTTGTACTTGAGAATTCTTATTCTCATTACAGATTCAGTAATTATATCACACTTTCACTCCTCTCTCCCCTCTCTCATATATATATATATATATATATATATATATATATATATATATATATATATATATAGAGAGAGAGAGAGAGAGAGAGAGAGAGAGAGAGAGAGAGAGAGTTAAAATAAACATTTCGTTTCATTCCCAGCCATTTTGTGCCTTCTCTCGTTCCAACCAACTGATTCTGGTTGAATCGCACCGAAAGAGCCGTTGAGAGTCAATCGTTGGGGGCGGAGGGGGAGAAGCGCGCCGCCGCCGCCGCCGCCGCGAGGCCATCAAAACAGGCCAGGAGCGGACGAGGAAAAGGGGCTTCGTCGAACGCTGCGCTTTTCCTGGTGGCGGCGCACGCACGGGATGGCGGGCAGGCAGATCGAAAACGCCGCCCTTCGCCCTGCGCCCTTCGACGCGGCGCGCCGCTCTCTGCCCGGCGGCGACGAACCAGGCCCAAACTCGCAACGCAAACAGCCAAATCGGGTTGCAGATGCGGCTTAACACGATCCGCTTCGCTTGTAGAAAACCCTGACAACAACACGTTCTCGGAATTATTCGTTTATCCTACTAATACTTCAAGCAGTTGAAAAAAAACTAAATTAAAATTACGTAAAAAACTGTTAATATTTTAAAAAATGTTAACATTAATTTTTTAAATTTATAAATTGGAGTAAAGTGTTGCGTTAAGGAAGAAATGTTTAACTTCACTATTGCAGGTAATATTGAAGCTTTAATTTTGAAGGATGGAGTAAAATTTAAACAATCGCAAATTTCTAAGTTTCAGAGGTTTTAATGAAAATCGGACATATCCCATATTATTAAGCAAATTTTTCTCTAATCAAGTGTTTTTTGAGAGAATAATGTATTACTTTTTTCTTTTGTAACGTTTTGTGTCGAGATTTCAATCAAATTAACGCGGAAATGACTTAAGAGTTACATTCAGCACGGAATTCAGAGTTATAATTCTGAAGCACGGATTTCATTTAAAATCTTAATCTCCACTAACATACTTTTAAAAACTTGTTGAAAACTTTTCTACTTTGGCAATTTACCAGATTCTACAGGTTTTACTTAAAGTCAGGCTCATCCCATTTTATAAGCGTACTTTGCCATAGTCTATCAAAACGTTAAGGATAAAATTTGTAGCCATTTTTAAGATATACATTTATAAAGTATTCATCTTAGGCTCATGAGACTTTGTGCAAAATAAAATTAAAAGATCTGTTTCAAATTGAGAACTGTCGTTTAATATTCTTTTTTGAAATTCCTGTGTACGGTTTAGACTCTAGTGATGTTCACAGACCTACAGACCGGTGCGGTGGACGCTGGGACCGTTGATCAATTTTTTTTTTAAGTTCTGGTATCAGGGATTCCCAATACGTGCTACTTTTATAAAAACTAAACATGAATTATTTAGCAGCATTGATATAACTCTCTCTTAAATACACATGTATTACACATGTATTGTACACATGTATTTCCACTTTTACCACTATGATCGTGAAATTACAGATTTAACAACTGTAAGTGACCAAAATCCATTTAATAAAATTTTAACTCAACTGAATATACCGCAAAGTAATTACATCTACCATTCAACATTGCAGCCCCTCAAATTCAAAACCTAATTCAATCTACAATATCACAAAATGTTCATGAATAATAACTTAAATAATATAAACATACTACATAATCTTCCAAATAAAATAAGCACATTAAAAAATTATATCTCAGATCAAGAAAAAGCAGACCAACTTACAAAACCTTTCAAAATTCTTCTTCTCTCTTTTACACCAAACCCTCCAACAAATAGTGAATTTAATACATTTATATTTACAGAAATGAATTTACTCCATCCTGTTTCACAAAGAACTAACTTTATTTCTTCGTCAGAAATTAAATCAATAATTAAACAAATTAAAAACTAGGAATATATCCTGGTTTAGATAACATTACAATTTTAAGCAATTAAAATATTTGAAAATAACACTATTACAGCCCTCACAACCAATTATATCTCTGCACTCACACTTCGATCTGTTCGAAATGAATGGAAATAGTAATAGTTTTGGATTTTAAGAAAAACATAAAGATCCATGTGTTATGTCGCACACACTGGAGAATGACACTAAATGTAAATAAAGTCAAGTCCAAATGTTTTACAATTCTTATTTTCTTATTTCTTAATCACTTATTTCTTCTAAATTTTCAATGCATTATGAATGATCACTCTTTGTGTATAAATCAATAATTAGATCCACGTCAATATATGGTTCTTCTATATGCACTAATGCAGCTAAACTCACATTAATAATATGCAAATTGTACAAAATAATTGTATACGTAAATCACTACAAGCCACGTGGTTCATACTAAATAATCAATTACAACCCGAACTAACTTTAGAAAACATTATAAACGTGATAAAATTACGAAACCAAATAATTTCCAACATAAAAACACTTGGCCTTGGAAATCTTGGCCAATCTCACATATTTAGTCGTAGAATCAAATCCCGATTCCACAAAGACCGATTCAGGCCTCCATATATTACACCTTTCACTTGTACTTACATACTGCAATACACACAACACTTTTCCTCTTATTTCCTCAAATTTCACAATGTTAAATAACTATTCTCTGTCAATAAACAATTTAATTTTAATTTATAATATTTTCTCCTAACTATTAGGAACAATAAATGGGCAAATGATCAACTCTAATAAGTCAATTAATTATAATTTTTAAAACCACTGAAAAAGAAACCCTCGAACAGGCAGTAATAATTTTCTTTTAAATATCAACTTTATTTGCATAAGTTATTATTCAGATTTTGTTACATAATTTGTAATGCATTGTCTAATACTTTACATAACCATACCAAATCGAACGAATACGACTAACATCTAATGTTGTAGCACCAGTAGTTTTCTTGTATAGATCAAGTCGTTCCTTGTTTGATACCTTACAGCATGTATGTTCTTCGAGGGTGTCAACAAAGTTAATAGTTCTGCATTCTTGCACTGAGTCTGGTAAATTGTGCTTCCGACTAAATGTTAGAGTTTCATATTTGTGGCTGTACCAAGATATTTACGTTACATTCTTCTACTTTTAGAAGAGATAAGTCCATCTCTGAACATAATTTGACAGTACTGCCTTTGCCTACAGATTTACTTCCCAAGCACCTCATACATATTTCGTCGATGTAACCAAAGCATAGCTAGGAGTAGAAATTTACGACGATGCTGTTATATAAGACCCTTATCTTTTTTACTAATTTCCAATGCGCGCAGAACTGGTAAGAAAGCAATGCAAACGTGTCAAACATGTCTGTGTTTACCCAGGAACTCGGTAAACACAAGATCAATTAAATAAATTTGATTTTGTCTGAAAATATTTGATTGTGTGATTCCGTATTTTTTCATTAGCGCGTACGAACTGATTGTTCATACTCAGTTCGTCACTCCTCACGATACATATTTTCTCTTTAGATGTTGCGTTATGGATATACAATATTTTTATATTCTTCGTATGTTGCGAACCATTGAAGCGTATGTTGTTCTATTCTATGTTTTTACGATATCTTTAACAATCGTTATAATATTGAATTTATTATAGTGCTATACGAGAGGATTTTATTTGTTGTTCTTGAACATTATGATATTTACGACAGCATGTTACCTTGTGAAAAACCATTAGGTACGGTATTATTCAGCAGCAAATTTTACAATAAAAGCGAAATGTCAATTTTTGTTCACTAATGTGAGCTGACAAGTATGTTTTTTCATCATAATTTACTTGTGTTCTATAAAATTCACACTTAAAACTCTCTTCCAATATTTTCTTCAAAATTCAATATTTTTTTAAAGTCAGTTACAGTTTTTAAAAACATTACATTTACAAGTATTTTCAATTTCTTTTTTTAAACTCAATTTTGTTTCAAACTGACAAAGTGCGTTAACACGTAAACCTGCTCGCCCGGAAGACGAAGTCGTGGGGCGCACGATGTTATGCTCCGGGTGGAGTGGCTGCGATGGCCACACGGTTGGCGTATTGGGGTGAGGAAGCTGGGGTATCTCTTAGCCTCAGAGCTTGGAAATAATTGTGACGTATCTAGTCAATAAACCTTGGATATGTGGAGCTCGTGTCTTGTTGTGGCGCGTGGCGCAGAGGGATTATTAAGGATTGCCTTACGCAAGTGGCAGTTATAGCGGGAAGCCCCTTAGCAGCCGCTACATGGCAGCTCGGAAGGGGGGGCGGCAGCGACAAACACTCTAACGAAGTGTGAACGATCCATTTCCAGAAAGCCTAGGCCGTTTTGTCGCACTACCAATTTCCTCTTAGAACTGTTTGATGCAGGATAGGGCAGCTATTCAGCAGATGCACACTTGCAAGGTTTTGTGTCCATGGTTCTCAGCAATTGTAAAACCTGTCGAATACTCTTAGCGATTATACTTGATGGTTATACTCCTATATCAAGCAATGGATACGTAATAGTTCAGCAGTTCAGCAATTCAATAACGATATAGGCAAAATTGACGTTGCGTACATGGAAAAAATGTGCTTTGAAACATTGAATCTATTTGTTTCAATTACATTTAAAACAATTCATTGTCACAATAAGAATGATAACAAAGTTTCTTTAGCTATTACGTTTCTTTAGTTATAAATCAGGAAATGCGATTTTAAGAAGATCAAAGTAATTTACTACCTACTGGAACATAATTGATCTACTTTATCGTTATCAAGGCACGAGAAATTGAGTTTTTCTGTCAAAAAATCACTGATTTCTGCCGCAACTTTATAATACTTGATCATTACGTTAATGTACTGCTTTATCTTAACAAAAATTATACATTGAAAACAACATTTAACGATCTAATTTTTAAGTATTTATTTTATGAAGAAGAAATATCTATCATCGATAATTCAGTTGTACAAGGCTAAAAATCTTCGGTAATTTGCAATTTTAGATTATTCGTATACATGAATAAAAATTGCACATTATCCATTTTTCATTCGTTGTTTGTTTTTGTAGCGAACATTTTAAGAAAACAAATGAAAGCTGCTATAAGAAAATTTTGAAAGAGTTGTGGAGGGTGATTTTAGGACACTCCCAAAATTTAAATAATCGTTCTAAAAATATGATATGACTCGGGGTCACATCGTTCGGGAAATATTAATTTTCGGAATTTTTTTTTTTGATTTGTGGTTTTAATGGATAGACATATTGGTAATAAATTTCTGAATCAGCTTCTCCCCTCCCTAAAAAAAGTACGTTATCGTAAAAAAACCTTAACATTGGTTTTTGAAGCGTTATATAATTTTCTCTCTTCTACGTATTCTAGAAAGTTAAAATATATTCTTGAAGATTAGACTAATTGTAATATTGCAAACCATAAACCTGATACGGAGTAAATAATTGTATAATTTACACAAACTGGAAATTAATTTACGAAGAGTACTTTCGAAATCAGTTTATTATCATCAATATTTTATATGATGTGATTAGGAAGCGTAAAAGTATTTTTGTTGTGATGAAGTGGGTTAACAGTTGGAAACACCTTGACTTAGCTGGGGGGGGACGCAAGCGCTAGTGTTGCCTACGCTTCAGGGGCAGAGATCGTAGAACATGCTAGAAGTACTTTAGGTGAATACGCCGAACATGCAATTATAAGTTTTGTTGTTTTGTTTTAAAACAGTGTAATGCATTCAACCGTAACGAACAAATCAATAATCGTATAAGCTCAACGCTTAACGCTTGGTACACCTATTGGCGCTTAAGTTTGTGAAGCCTGCTGACCATCTACCGAAGTGGTTGTGAGGTCAATTGAAAGATTGGGGAATTAGTATATTTTAAAATTGGATTCCCCAAACTACCAATTGTACGTTAATTCCTTATACGTGAACACAAAGTGAGAAGTTTGCTTAATCACAAAGTGGTTATCAAACGTTATGAATTCAGTGTAGTGAAACATGTATGTATACTCTGATTTACAAGCATAAAAATCGTGACATTGATTCGTACATTCGACTCGTGTTTTACAAAAACTCTTTGGAACAGCATGCAAAGTCTCACAAATACCTCCTTTACAATAAGTGTGATATTATATATATATTATAATATATTATAATAATAGTATAGTATAATATATGGACTACGTAGTATAAACCGCACAGTAAAGGAACCATATTTGCAAATTTAAGTGGCATTCAGTCCCGCGTCTAGAGCGGTACACGCGTCAATATACCTCGTGAAAACAGGATAGCTGCGGGGCGAGGTTGGCCGTGGGGCGGTGGAGTTCCAGTGCGAGGTGGCGCGCGCCACCAGGATCCGCGGGCGTGGGCGTGGGCGTGGGGGGTGGGCGGGCCGGGCCGGGCGCGCGGGGAGGGCGCGGGGGCGGGCGGGGCGGGGCAGCAAATAGCTCCGCTGCATATCCGGGCGGGAGTTGCAGCGCTTGGCGTTGAACTTGACCGCGTTCGCGCGCGGCGCCTACGTCAGCCCCGCGCCCGTGCGCATGGCCGCCGCCGCCGCCAGCCGGCTGGTACTTGGCAACGCCGGTCGTGGACGTCTAGTCGCGTCAACGTGGACCGGCGGGCGCGGGCGCGGTGCCCTTGCAGCAGCCGCCCAGCCAGCTCCGGGCGCCACCTCGCTTTCGCTCGCTGTGGCAACCGCCCCCGCCGCCGCCGCCGCCGCTCCCAGGTACCGTCGCCGCCGCCTCCGCCGCCGCCAGTGCATGCTGCACCGCCGCCGCCACCGCACGACTCGCGGCGCTCCCGCATCTGCCCGCTTGGCACGAGAGCGCCGGTCCATGGACATTTCTCCCCTTGACCATGGCCAGCGCTCCGCCGCCTTGCTCTCTTCCGGGCGCTGCTAGCGATTGTCTCTCAGCCTCAGCGCCTGGGGAGGTTAAACCTTGCGCCATATCCGGCCTTCTTACGAATTCCGCTACCAACTTCGCGTCTCCTGACGAGCATGGCGCCGTTGATGCTTTTTAAATCCTTGTTCTTTTCCGTTGCACGGCGAGCGATCTTTTGCTCGGAGTCGACAGCCATGTGCTGCAGTTGCCTTTCTCACGAATGGAGCACGTAAATGTCTGTGAATGCATGTGCACCGTTCCTAAGCTGCTGGCTCGCGCGGCGTCGGCGGAATAGGCGGCGAAGAGCGTCGCCCGCGGGGCAGTTGGCACTCTTGGCGCGCACGGCGCCCGCCCCCTCCCGCTCCGCACGCTCCGCACGCTCAGGTAAGCCCGCCCCCACTCGCCTCGCATTTGCATTCGCACCAAACGAAACCTTATTGCTGTGGGGGAAAATTAATCATCATTTTATAAATCGCATGTGTTTATATCTTTTAATTACTTCGAAATGTAGCAATTATCATGTTGACTAATTTTTATTAATTATATATTCCCATTTAAAAACAATTTTAAGTTATACCGTATTAATGTATAACTACGTTTATTTGTATGTAAATTATAGAGATCTGCCACCAGGTTTAAAAAAACAACTTCAATATTCTCTGTTATGGTCCCTAGTTTCTCTGTGACAACTTTGAACTGAATTTTCTTCACGTATTATACAAGGCCAAGGACATTCAAAACACAATGTATTATCTGAGTGGTTTACGTAAATCATTTTTACGTAAATCAATGGTCTTCTAGTAAACCTGGAAAAATAAATTTAAATGCTGGCACTAACAAAAGGGGCCCTAACTGAGAATATTTAAAAAAAGTTAAACAGTCATGATCATTTAACTACTACAAAACTACATCCAGAAATAATAAATATGTTTGTCATTAGTTCAGAAATAATCTTCAATGTTAACGCTTAAGTTATTGTCGATTTCGTTTCTTTGCATTGTTCAAACCAACAACTACATCTCTATCTTTCTATTTTTCATTCCCAGGAAATAATAAACAGTTTAGTGTTTGTAATAAGCAATTGTTGATATTTCAGACGAGTTTTCAGATGTGATTTCAGATAGGCGAAAATTCTTAGCAACCTGTTATTCCGTACCTTAAAGAGTCTCTGGAGAGGTAATTTTAAATTTATTTTCTTCAAATAATAAATTTCAAATCAAAAATACAGAATAATAAATCATGATAACTTTTTCCGATGTCCTGAGCTCACAGTCCGGAGCTCTTTGTCTAAGGCAATTCAACATCTACATAAATTTATTTGGAGTCGCCAACTCTGATGTGATGTTTATATTTTCTGTATGATACTATTACTACGAAACTATTTTCACGTATAATTCTAATTAAAAGGCTCGAAATTCACTTAAACCATTTCTATATTTTATATTGAGAATTTTTTATTATCTCCATGTTTAAAATACGCTGATATATTACCTCCTTCGCAAACTGGAACAATGTTCTAAAATGTGGGACTTAACATTAGAGGCGCACCCGAGATTTTCTCAAAGAGGAAGAAGCTAAAGGTATAGCGTCCAACCGGCACCATGTTTTCTTGTCAAGATTGTTTCATTAATGCACAATTTAACATGTATGTCAATTTGTTGACTTACAGTTAAAATTTTAACGTAAACAATCGGTATATTGTCGGAATTTCATTAATAACAAATATGTTAAAGCAATTTTTGGAATACGTAACATTAACGCTTCCTGGGGAGGGGCTGAAGCCCCACAACCCTTCCCACTTTGGTGGTGGTTTGGGTGCGCCACTGCTTAAGAGGAAACAACCTCAACATAGTCATTTTCACAGTGTGTTTCCAAATGGCAAAGTTAAATATCCACATTTACTAATATTGTGGAAGGAAATGACATAAAGAATTCTAAAGTGAAAAATATGCCGTTTAAGTTTCCAAACGTATTTATGGTGCATTTTAATTACTGTATAAATAAATTTTTGTTCTAAAATAAAAAATGCCACTTTCGATTAATATTTCTTTTCATTTTATTCTAATGATAATTCAAGAATTCGAAATTTCGTCTTCTATTGTGGAACATTATCCACTTCCCCTTAGATCTTGCTCTTTTATAGTGTCAGAATTACTTCCTCACAATACTACAATGGCAATTCCTTTATGTGCACATTTTATTTTGGTGTGTCAATTGGTAGATATTCTAGAACGTCGTCGATGTCTAATTTCATTTATGTACTTTGCACATAATTTTCAATTGTTTGTACTGAAAATAAACCCTGCAAACGTTTAATACATAACTAAATTGTCTAGTCTTTACAATATTTAACACAGAAACCTGTTGATCGAAATGCTCGAGTAATGTTGATCTTGGGGGGTGGGAAGCCTCAGAAGCCAGAGCAAATTTTCCCCTGCGCAGTGAGTGACAACGTTCTTCCCCTCCCCTTCTCATATTTCCCTTTCTCTCAAATTCCTTCATTATTACTATCGTCATCCAATCACGAAATCATTCGCCAACCCCAATAAGAACATTCAGTGATTCATATTCGAATTCCAGTGGCTGCGAAAAGGCCCGATGGGCGTTGCTCCATATCTTGGTTTCTCTTACCTCGAGTTTCATTTCGTTTCTGTGCGATGATTCCAAATATCCGAATTACAATTTTATAAACTTGCGTCCGCGGCTTCGCGAAGTTGGGCGGCGGCGAGGGGGCGGGGCGCCGCGGTTCTTTTGCGTTCGAGGCGGGGCGCGGCGAGAGGGGCTCCTGAGAGGGCGAGAGAGGACCTGAGAGGGTGGCGCGGTAGCCGACCTCCAGCACGAGGGCTATCGATCAGGGCTCGGCACGTAGAGGTGCGTGACACCTTCATTTCGCGGTCTCTTGAGGAAAAGAAGAACCAGGCGGGGAGGGTCATAATGCACCTGAAAATACACTCGCGTTACTCGCTTGCTTTGTTCTGGGCGAAGGAGACGGGACATCTGGCAGAAGACGCGTCCGCGAAATATGGAAATGCGTCGCCTTTTTCATGTAGAAAAATGTTTTGAAATAATGCATTTTTATGGCCCAGTGAAACGTTGAAATAAAATTGAAATAATTTGATTTGTTAAATATTGACATTCAGAACTGTACATTCTTCAATTGATGTGTTCTCGCTGAGTTTCCGACGCCACGGCCGAATACGTTCTTACGAAAAGATTCTCTAAGAGATTATTTACTCAAAAGTCCAAGTGGAAAGTGCTCAATAAACGATGTTAGGAAATGTGTTTGTTCTCAAGAACTTGTTTTGCCATTTTACGATTCAAACTAAGACTTAAGAACTAGCTGTTAATGCCTAGTAAGAATACTACTACTATTACTGTTTATAATAATAATAATAATAATAATAATAATTATTATTATTATTATTATTATTATCGCCATCATCATAATAATGACTATTCAGCGGGTAGAAAATTATTGCCTACTACTTACGAAGTTTAAGAAAATATTGTTATAGAAAAAATAAATGAATCTTGTTCCAATACGTAATAAATTAAAACCCTGTAGCACTTTATGTTCCACGTTTAGTGGGTCCTTCACAATAATAAACCATCTGAGGTTAGACTTTTAGATCATTGAAAAAATGGCTCAAGTCTCATAATCGTTATAATCTTTAAATTTTCGAACGTTCGAAAGTCCAAACGCTCAAAATTTATTTGGTGACTTCTTATGACGGCTATATTAAAGATCTCTCGCTCTGTGTGTGTCAAAACCTTTCAAAATATCTTCTCCAATCGATATGAAACTGATATTCTCCAATCGATACCAACGAACTCGAGTCCTACGGGTTTGAAACGAATGTTTTGATTTTGGGGAGTACTTTGCAAACAATCTCAACAACATTTTCAAGATTTCCTCAAAACTGTCTTCAAAGCTTTGTATTATGTTTTAACATATATCCTTAAGAGCTCATTTAAAAATGGTTCTTATCTTATTTTCTTTGAAATTCCTGATTTTTCGAAAATTGCAAAAGTTCCATTTTCGGCTTCTTCTTAGAACTAAAGTATTGAAAAAAAATATTTTTCTCATTCAATATTATTGTTCAAAGACAGTTTTTGAAATAAGAACATGTTCGATTTTTCCCATAATTTTGCGTGAAGTATAGACAATTTTTAAACAATTATTTTCTCAAAACGGCTTCAATATATTTCTTTACATTTTTACCATTACCAATCGCAGTGCATGAGGTGCGAAAACTAAATCTTTGAATGCTGATTCATCAACATAAATTCGACAACTCAAAACTGCATCCCATATAGCGATAAATATTATCTCCTAACGATTAAAAATAATTGTATGAATTTCAAATTGCAGTGTCGCGGGTCTTCTCTTCTCGGATTGTGGCCTATTATGAACTAAGCAGTGGTCAAAATTACAAAAAGCTTATTTTCAAAAATATGTACAACCACATATACGTTATCGTTTTATCTGAGATAGCCATATTTGCATTAAAAGATTGCAAATTGTATACAATAAACCATTTATCTATATAGTACATGCCTCTCTACAGCAAAAGAAACATGAGAAATTCGAATTTGCAATGTTGAAAACTTGCAAAAATTACGCGAAACACTCATATTTTCAAACTTTTTGACATGACCATACGACCTTATTTTAAGATACAACTTAGAATAACATATTTTATTAAGAAACAATTTGTTCCTTCAAAATTTCAATTGTATATCCACCGAAAAATTCCAATTGTAGACACGCCGAAAGAATGGTGAGCTTCTACAATTTTCGAAAATTCTTATAATTCAATGAAAATAAAATGTGCGCCATTTTATAAGCGTTTTCGTATTATACGAGGAAAAATTACAACAAACATTTGGAACCATTTTTCGAAAAAAATAGAAAGTGTTGAGACTCCTTATAGAATCCACAAAAATCAATATATTCGTTTCGAATTCAAGGGACCGCATCATCGGCCAGATCGATTGGGAATATCAATTTTGGTGAAAATTGTACCTGCGGTTTGACCGATAGCATTGTTCACGGGCAGGCAAACAGACGTCATGCCGTCAATGTTTCGGAATTAAAGAACCACAAAACATAGCTTATGAGTTCAGAACGTATACGAGAAAGTAATCTGCTACACAAAGGAACAAAAATTAACTTTTTCGATATCAGAACACCACAATGTGAGTTATTCTGTTAAAAAAATCATCGTTTTCTCTCAACATTAAAATACTTTCTTAACACTACGTATGTATAAAGAAGTGTCGGTTTGGTTGGTGTCGAATTGGTTTCACTCATAATTAATTCATTTCGAATTATTATAACAATTTTAACGATTACTATTCTGTATGTGTTTGTTTAATTGTAAATAGAACCCTTAGCGAAAAAGTTTGAGCTTTTCTGAATTATATTTTTTTAAATGTTACAAACAATTTAACATATTTAAATTCTGTAATAAGTGTATGGATATCTGCAAAACAGAATTTTGTAATTAGAGCACGAAAGAGGTTCCCATTCCATTATATGGTTCAAACATTTCTCGTAATCGGTGGAGTGATTGAGAGATCGAGCCGCCCCTTGCGTAAGCAACACTGCAGGGCCAGCCGGCCGACCCTCTGGATAGCTCAGCCCAATGCCTCACGGGGAAAAGGCGTTCGCTCGTCCTGGGAGGCATCGCAGCGCCCAAGATGCAATTCGCCCTCCGTCGAATGCAGGTTCGAGTTCTCTCCGCACACCGCGCTGCCAGCTCTCTAATCGTCCGGCGGAAATAATATTACTACTTGGTTGATTGACTGATTGGTTGTTTAGTAATTTCCTGCACGTCGACTACCAAAGCCATTAGTCCCGTAAGTGTAATGCATGTTCTTTGCTCGGGAGGTGGCAGTGATCTTTCTCACGCTGCATGGCGAGATCAGGCGCCGACCTACCGTCGGGTAGCGGGGTTTTCCCCACCCTGGTATCTCCCACCAGCGGGGCACCGCCACATCCGGGACAAGCTTCCGGCATGTGGGGTTGTGTAGTGATTGTTAGTGTGTGAGTGCGCGTGTGTGTGTGTGTGTGCTTGTGTGTGTGTGTGTGTGAGGGATAAGAATAGGACAAGGAGGAGGAAGGTGAGATCGCGCGTGGTCCGTGGCCCGTTTGTACTGCTCCGGCATTCGCCTGGTGTTGATCGGAGAAACCACAGAAAACTGCCGTTCAGAGCAGCCTAGAATTCTACTCCAGATAGCGACTGAACTCGACCTAGCTAACAAGCTAGTGTTGAAAATACTGCCACCGTCGGGACTCGAATCTAGGACCTGCCGGTCAGAGGGACTGTAGTGACATCAATAGATGCCTTGAACCATCTCTCCCGTTAATATTACTAATTGTTACATACTAATTTTGTTATATATTTTCATTATTTTAGTAATCCAAATATATTAAAATCGTAATTAAATATATCTTAAAGTAAGTAGTTAAAATAACTAAGTAAGTAATCTTCTTAGCTAGTAAAGTAACTAGCAACGCATTTCCTCATTAGCGAATTACAAAAACCTTTTCTTCAAAATTTATTTGGACCCTAGTTGCATTTTATTACTATCATCTGGGGCTCCCTCTGAGGTTAAGTTTGATAGAAGTCCGCTCATGTTCATCTCTTGAAAAACTTACAACCTACATTTTTAGTTTAAAAAACCATAAACAAAATTTTGTTAAAAACGCCTTCAATTTTCTTCTGTAAACTTTTTGTTCGGGTAGAGCACAGCTGCCGGCTGAGTTGTCTCAGGGCAAAACAATTTCCACTTTAGAGACTCTGGCCGGAAGATCGGAGGGTCCTGGATGTGATGGTGGGGGATTTTCCACACTAGCTACATCAAATTCAGTCGCTGTTGCAGAGAAATTGTTTAAGCAATTTATTGGGCTCATTTATTTAAAAGATTGATACTTTAAAAAATATCACAAGAGAACATTTAGAGCATGCTGACAAATGCCCGTCCTGTCCCAATGAGTCCCGTTGGTGCAGTGATTAAATTGCCCAGGGAAGTGGCGGTGTTCCTCTCTCAATGTGTGGGAAGAACCGGCGCCGACCTACAGGTCGACTTGCAGGAGATATCGCCGTTTAGTGTCTTCCTCCAACGGGGCACCGTCTCGGCCGATTGGTCTCCCGCCATGCGTGGAAGTGTAGTGCATGTATGTGCAAGGGGAGAGGATAGGACCAGGAACAGGAAAGAAAAATCGACGCGCGGTCCGTGGCCCGTTTGTTGAAGAACTGCTCCGGCATTCGCTTTGGGCTGATCGGAGAAACCACAGAAAACTACCGATCAGAGCAGTTGGTCTCTAGAATTCTCCTCCAGGCAGTCACAAAACTCGACTTAGCCCTCTAGCTAGTGTCTGCACCGTTGGAACTCGAACTTAGGACTCCTGATTAGAGGCCCTGCAGGGACAGGTTGACGCCCTTAACCACCTCTCCCGGTACGTCTGGAACTTCTAGAGCCTCCGGGCGGGGAGGGTGTCACGGCCCTGCGTGTGCAGAATCGCCGCCACCCTCACCATGCCGCGCGGTCGGAGCGCGTCGGTGAGGGGACGGCGGCCCTTTTGCTTCTCGAGGGCTAATCTTGCGGCCGGCCGGCGGAAGGCGCGGGATCGATCCCCGGGCGCACCCGCCGCGGCTCCTGCGCCGCCGCCTCGCCATCGAGCGCGTCTCCCGTTTCGGGGGAGGGAGGTCGCGACCCCCGGGGAGGCTGGGCGCGGCTTCTGGAACCCCAGCCGCCCGCCCGCCCGCCGCCGCCGCCGCGCGCCCCGCCGTTCGATTAGCCGTGCTTGGCGGGGCGCGGCGGGGCGCTGCGTACACGTGGGGTGCGCCTCCTCGCACGCCGCCAGTCCATGACAAGCGCCGCCGCCCGGCCGCGGACGCCGACGCCGACCGCCGCCGCAGCCGCCGCCGCCGCGCGCTCGTCTGGGCCCCCGCGCTTGCCCTCTGCCTGGCCACGCGCCCCTCCCCCGCCGCCTCGCCCCCGCCCGCGCGGGCCCTCCGCCTCCTGTCGCCGCCGCCGCCGCCGTCGCGGGTGAGTGCGGAACGACTGCGCTCGCGCTGCCGACACTTGCACGCATCGCCGCACACGCTCGCTTCTTCTCCAGAAAGCGAGTTTCCCGAAGTCGTCAACAAGGAGAAAACACATCTCTTGATAATATTTTATTGCAGCAGATACAGCGTATGTTGCACTATTTTGCCGCATCCTCACTTCCACAATTGAGGCATTTGCCATGTACCTCCTAGCGTAACTGCGCCAATTGATCAGTTGTGATCCGAATCGTGTATTGCCCAACTTGCGATTATCCACCCTACAGTGTCAATCCTACCCCCAGGGATGTTCATTTTTTATTCGGCTTAACATGACGTGTATCACGCAGAGATGCCGGTGGTTCTCAAACACTGGTACGTATCCTAGGTGGCAGGCTTCTACCGCACCGGGATACAAATATTAATACCACAATATGACAAATATTTCCGTTATAATATTGATGGTGTCGGAAAAAATAGTGCAACTAGTGCTGTGTGCGGTACAATAAAATGCTTCCATAAAATTGTGTTTTATATTTATTGTCGACGAAGGAACAATTACCTTTCGAACACGCGTCTCTCAAGATCTTCGCACATGAGCACTTTCTGCGGTAGAATTGGAAGCACAACAGCGAAATGTTTTTTTTCAGATACTCGAATATTTTCCTTCCAAGCCGCTCTTCACCTATCCTCCTAAACTGACTGTATCATTTTTTACCCCCATAGACATTTTAAATTCCAAAATTCGCGAAGGAATGAAGCTGCATCTTGCTTCTCGTGTACCCTGTACAACAAACTCCACAGAGTCCAATGAAGATCCTTCCCCCTCGTCACCACATTCCAGCAGTTCAAAAATATTCAAAAATAGCAATACGCCCACTGCTCAAATTACGTATTGTAACGGCAAGTGTACTGTTAACACTTCTTAGTTCAATTACCTACATTTCTCTATATTTTTGTTCGCAGATTGGGACTTTGGTCATCATAAACAATAATGCCTAGGTAGTCTCGTTCAAATGAAAAGGAAAAATTAAATGATATTTTGTGTAGCCTCTAAACGTTATCCAGCACTTCAAGGCTTGAGGAAGGGGACTTCCGCGAGGCAAATCTAAGCAAGAAGTCAAACCTTGTGAATTGTGCAGAATTCCACTAGTGTCATTGCATTAGACAGTCACAAAATATTAGTCACATTTTGTTGAAAATTCATTCCAGGATTTCATTAGCTTAATTTAATTGAAGCGTAATTATGAAACCATATTTTTGAGAGGAATATTACCTTTGAGGGATTGTGACGAAGTAAAAGGAATGGAAAAATATTTTTTTAAATTCAATATATTTGGTTATCGATTTTTGACGAAGAAAGGCATTGGAAAATGGAGACTCTAATTTAAGTTGTTGCCCGCTGGTGAAAGCAGTAGTATGTGCATTTCCTTATAAATGCCACACTTCTCATTTGACGCATTTGTTATAATGTTTCCATGTATTTCGGTGACTCAGCTGAAATGTCTATGCAACATTTTACACTGGAAATGAATAGATTGATTTCATCGTCAAGGAATAAATACAGATTTTTCAAATAAATGTTACAAACTTCTAAGACATTTAGGATGGTAACTTTTTGAATCGAAGACTATAACGTTTTGCCACTGAATAAATATGCGGATATCTGGTATAATGATTGCATGCCATTGGCTATTAGTGTTTAGATGGTACACTTCCTGTTGCAGTTAAAGATATTTCGTTAACCTAACAAACATCAGATAAAGATGAGTTACACTAATCAGAACCAAATGCCAAATGTGTAGCTTCATTGCATGAGATTTTTCATCACATGTTAATTTACAATCAGTGATCATAGACTTCTCTAATATGCTCTAGAAGTTTGTAAAATATATTCTGATATGTTCTATAAATCTGTATTTAATGAAGTGATCTTTTTTATCTTTTGATCAATGTATACTCCATAACCTAAGGGCACAAGTCAGAGGGAACTTCGAGGGCCTGTCTTTCCTTCGCTCTCAGAGATTTCGCCCTTCGCTCGGGCCCTTCGCACCAACAGTTCCACAAATAGCAAGTCATTTGATCCGAGTACGCTCAGCGATATTTATCGTGCAAAGTAGTCTAAAAGGGAACGCGCGTAACTGTTTGTCGCTGCTGTATCGTCCTTCGCTAGCAAGTTATGAAAAACGAATCCCTTTCACTCTTCAAAAGTGATGTTCGGTTGAATATTTGTATTCACCTGGCGAGGGAACAATTATAAGTTGGAATTTTGAAAGAGAATAAACAGGATTTTTTATTACGAAACATCTGAATTGTCTATATTTGTATTTTCGAGTTAATAAATGATTGTGTTTTATTCAGACTTTAATTAAGTGACAATAATTACTTTTTTAACATGCAAAGACAGCATTTGAGTAAATCATACCAAAACCTAATATTTTGCCTTTTGCCCTTCCTTGCCATATAAGTCAAACATGTCAGACTTGGTTCCCTGTACGATTTCTAATTTTCTTTCCAATTTTGCATTTCAGGTGCAAGGCGTATGGAGCACTGGTTACATTCCTACTGGTACTCGGTTTGGGCCCTTAGTGGGTGAAGTCTATGCCAAAGACGCAGTACCCAACTCTGCAAATCGCAAGTACTTTTGGAGGGTAAGTTTCATTCAATTTATTACTGATGTTACCATCTATTGTATTCCAAATAAGAAAATTACTAATGACTATTCACCAAATGGATCTGCCAAAGAAAAAAGATTCTATCTTTATTACCAGTTTATTTTCATCAGCTAAATTAGTGATAAATTTGTCCTATTCTTTGAAATATGAATAACACAGTATGAAACATTTTATTAATGTACCTAACTTTCTTAAATCCGTTACTCTAATTTTCATCAACAATTACAAAAATGTTAACAACAATGTCTCCTAAACAAGCATAGTTGTGTGAAAAGGTATTTGTGCATTTTTTTATGAAAAGATATTCCTGATGTTTCTTTAATGATGTAATAGAGGGAGCCCTTTTGTAAGTTTTTACACAATTTTTAATTTCTAAGCACAGTACCCACTTACACATGAGTTGCTTGTTACAGAAGTCATTTGTCATTAATTTTGTATTCAATCTCAAACAAACTAATTTTATTACTCACCAATATCTTTAGTATGTACACAATCTGGTGTTTTGGGTTACTCATTCTTATCACTTCTTTTTCTGCCCTTCTTTTTTCATGTGAACCTTCTAAACATATACTCTCAGGTGCAAATCAAAGAAGAACCAAGAACCTGGCCAAAGGTACACTTCTAAATGTCTTTTACCTTTTAGAGGCTAAGAGCCTAAATTGAAAGTTTAAGGGTTTTTCCATTAATATTGGAGAGATTCATTTCTCTAGTTCTTCGACGCAGTCATTCGCTTTTTCGTTTTGCACTGCAGTTCAAATATGCAATTTAAAATAATGAAATTGCATTTCATTTCATAAATTTTCTAACAGTTAACTCCAGAATGACGTATTATTGCTCTCAGAAATTGCTTTTAGGAACTAAAATAATGACCCTCAAAATTAAGTATTTTTCATTCAAACTCATAAAATATTGAAGTAAAAAGTGAAGAACATAAGGGGAGATTTTTTTCTAGAGAGAGTTTGCTCACCCTAAATATAATTTTTGTTGTAGTTCTGTGATTAGAAAAAAATTCATGGCAACTTTATAATAAGTAATGTTAAAGATACATGAGAGAAAGCAAAAGCTTACATATTTATATTTCATTGTTCATGTTTAGTATGAAGCTAAATGCTTCTCACATTGAAACTCCCAATGGTTCACAATATGCAAAGTAAATTTAACAATACAATGCCATGTACAATCAGTATCATTCATTTCTTGATATTTAAAAAAATGCAATATACAGTTATGTTATTACTTCTTACGAAAAAAGTATAAATATATATTTATTCATACAACTTACATTCAAAGAATATGATCAAGTGTTAGAAAAACCCATCTTTCCTGCCATTCTGAATTCGCTTTTTATATGAAATCGTTTGTCATACTGGAGTTCACTGGTAATAAGGTAAATTTTAATATATTCTCTGAGAAAATGATAACAACTCTCCACTCTCATTCAAATGTTTCCAAACTATCAAGAAATAAAGAATCAGTTTTAAGTTAATAATGTGTAAATACATAAATTGTACAGATGGCTCTCAATTCCTCTCTAACAATATTTCTTGCTTTCCAAATCTGATCTCTTTATATTTGGTGTAGTTTCTTTATTTTACGATATTTTAATTTATGTTGATTATTTTGAACATTACTACAGAAGGCCATACACAGATATGTTATTACTTCCCGAGGGGAGTTGCCAGGCTAGGGCGGGCCT